CATCGACGTCACAACCTGGGCTGTTTGATTCATGTCCTCTGAATCAGTCTGTATTGTGGTTTACAGGTGAGAGGATGGCACGCAAGTGTGACTGACTGGAAAAATAAAAACAAAAGCCGAGACTTAATGTGAGTCATTTATAATTGTTAATGATGTTGCTTTTTAATTCCACAGAAAAGAAGGAGAAGCTTTTTTCCAGTTGTACTCAGGTGAAGCATGTCCAGGAAGTCTGGGTCTGACACAGCAAGAAGTATGTAAACGCCTTCAAATATACAGGTTTGACAATGATGTTTATAGCAGTGATAAATGGCACTGCAAAAGTCAGAAAATAATAGTTTTATGAGTCTGGTGTGCAAAAATCCTTAACTGACTTGTTCAAAATGCCAGCTGCTCGCCCGTGTATTGAAGCAATCCCCCATGGCCATCTTCACTGTGTTCCACACAATTCCTTCATGTTGTCCCAACACAAATTGATTGAGTTAACTTAATTGTTTTTTACATATTTAAGTGGATTAAACATAAAACAATTAAGTTAAACAAGAATTATATTGATTCAGCTTGTTTTAAATTAGTAGTAAACAAGCAGCAACACACACACACACATATATATATATATATATATATATATATATATATATATATATATATATATATATATATATATATATATATATTTTTTTTTTTTTTTTTTTTTTTTTATGCATTCAAAAACATGTCTAATGAAATGTTCAGACAGCAGATTACTGATTCGCATCACGGTAGTTGATAGAATCGACTGATCTAATATGTAATAAGTGGCTAGTTCATACAAATTCAAAAGATTTCATATGTACATTTATAACCCCTAAACCTACCCATCTTTGGAGGATGTGTAAATCGTACTAAAATCATATTCATATGAATTAGCCACTAATACACAAAGTTAGAAATTTTAGGAGAAAGTTAGGAGGTCAGAATAATAACATAGATTGCAGTTATTATTAAACTTTTTTTCTCACTAGCTGGCGCCTTAAATTCCTTTTATAAAAATAACACTTTTTAGCGTAATTTTAGCATAGCTCTTGAAACATTCCAATTTAGCCATCTCATTAAATTTCAAATGCTAAATAGTTTTATTAAAATGTCTCTGTCCATGCCACAATATGACAGCAGGGAAAATAGAAAGAAGCCATTTTGTAATAAATTCATCTTATTTCAATGGTTGAGTGATGATGCGAAATGCATCTGATTATTTTGTCCTATACTGTTATTGTTTAGAAGACATTTAACAATATACACTCTTTAGTTTCTTTATAATGATTTATTGAATTTTTAATAATTTATGGTTGTTTAATTACAAACCATTACAAACAGAAAGAGATTAATAGAAAAACAGCTTATGTAGATTACATTAATATAAATTCAGTTTTAGAACTAAAAGTATAACTTACATACATTTTCTACTGTAAATTATAGAGATTGACTAAAATGTCATTCGGTGTAGCAGTGGTTTATGTCAAACAGTCTTGTCAGGGATATTTATAACAATAATCATTTAACAAAATGGAATTAAAGACAACTAAAAGACTTAAGGATCACAGTTTCATGAGACGAAATAAATACAATTTCACATACTTTATACTTTCTGTCATTCAAACTAACAGGATTTACCCATTTGACAGCTTGTGTTTTAATAATTAAAGACATTCTGACGATTTGTATCAGTGCATTTAGTTATACATATAATTATGAAGTTATTTGAAACATTATAGCAGACACTTGCTTTTAATATTATTAAAATTATATATAAATATAAATATTTTTGTACATTTTAATTTTGCACTAGTTTGGCAGCTCACACAAATTAAATAATCTAATACAGTGGTTCTCAAACTGTGGTACGTGTACCACTAGTGGTACGCAGGCTTCCTAGTGGTACGCGGAGGAATCAAATATGTAAGATGTACATGCTACATATATTTCAAAATTTATCAAAAATTATTTATTTATGAATATGGCAGATATTAATATTCATTATATTATATATAACCTATATTTCCGAGGTCCAGACAACATTTTCAGATGTTGATGAATTGGCTACTATATGTTAATACTTTACATTTAAGTGCAGCACTTTTCTTTTTATCTTAAGCACATTTTAATTTAAATGTTGACGTTTTTAGTTTTTTTTTTTTTAAATAAGCACAGTACAGTGTTAACTTTCAGACTATTTGTGTTTAAAGTGGTTGACAATAATAAATATTCTTAATAATAGGAATTAATCTGCCACGTTTTTGAATTGTGCATAACTGTAGCTACTTTACTGGGCTTACTACGCTACTGTATTTCAATTATGCTCATTATGGTGGTACTTGGAGAGACAATTATTTTCTGAGGTGGTACTTGATGAAAAAAGTTTGAGGACCACTGGTCTAGTAAATATTAATCCTTGAGTCATATTTTTTTTAGGGATGACAGACATTCCTTATGATATTTTCTGTCAATTATCTAACCATTTTTTATGGTTAATACAAAAAAGTATAGATTTATTACTGAAGTTTAAGCATTTTAAAAACAGAATCATCAGTATTTGAGAAGCTCACTGCCCTTGCGTCTTGGTTTCTCTGACCTTATTTGGTTATTTAAACTCTTTCCCTTTCACACAATCATGGTGAGTCATTTCAATCACCTCAACAAATATTTGACAAGAGCAGTTTTATCACATCATCAGCTTCAGAGTTTATCAGAGTTTCATCATCATCAGAGTTTCAAAGTAAGATCTAAAAAGCTGAGTATATGTTATTTTGTGTTGAGCTGAAAATTTGCCTGTTCAGGTGACAAAACTGGACATGCTAGTTCAGAGAGGGGGAATGCCATGAAACAACACCTGAGAACTTCATGCCACTGGCAACAATCGCTCCACCGTCTGCTTTGGTGGTTTTTCTGAATGACGTTTTAAACAAGTGACAATAAAGAACTGATTCATTATCCCATTTTAAATCACATGGTTAAAAATGCCAGTTTATGGGTCATTGCGTATTTGCACCTCACATTTCAAGTTTCTTAAACAGACGTTTGATACTGATGTTTGTAATATTATGCTGGAGTGAAAGATAAAATAAATGCATTTAACATTTGCACAAAACCAGAGAAAAAACATCTTTAAATCTACATTCAAATTGAACTGAATGACTGCAGTTTCTTACAATTTAGATGGCTGTAGAAAATAGATTGCAACATGACCCATTTCCCTGTCTGAGGCGAGAGTTTGAAGCTGATCTAAATGTTACAGAATCAGTCAAACCTTCTGGCACTCTCGCTGACTCTTAATTTATGTCATAGTATCAGTGATGTTGAGGCCTCCAGCCAAGAGAGTCTGTTACACGAAAGAGATCAGAAAAAAGGAAACAAAAAAAAAAGATAGTTTCATTCTGGAATGGATATGGATGATGATGATGTCTGTAGATGTCATAGTATTGTGCCAGCTTCCTAAAAATTCAAAAATTCTCTTTGAGATGAATGTTGATATATGAAAATTGAAAGTGTTACTTAATGAACAGAACAATAGAAAATAAACGGTAGGTTTATATTAGTTATTATTGTAGATTATTGTTGAAGGTTAATATTTAACAGTATTTATTATAAGGAAACAGTTAACTATAATAAAAATGTAAATGAATTAATGTTATTAGTTAGGTTTGAAAGTTTATTTAAATTCTTTCGATTTATTGTTAGTTTAATGATGGTATACTGAAAATCAATCAAATGTAATAAATTAAAACTTTTACTGAAGAGAGTCAATGTTGGAAAAGTTGTATGTATTGTTGGATAGATTTGTATAAATCTTTACTTCATATCAATGGTTTTAAACTCAATTCCTGGAGGACCGCTCCAACCACCCCTAACTCACCTGCTTAGTAGTCTCTATTGACCTTATTCTTTAATGCAGAAGTGTGCTCGTTTTTACCATTATTTTAGAACTTCAGATTCAGTCGCCTTTGGAAGAAATGACTAGGAATAATAATCAGCAGAAACGGTCAAACTGCTTGCTCTATAAACAAGTGTGTTCATGTCTATACATAAAAAGTTGAATAATATTGTGTGAAAATATCAGTTTGCAACATCAAGCAGCAGAACGAGCTCTTTTTAAAGTCTAAAAAACAATGGATGTGCATGAGACCGGAAGTCTCAAGCCAAAAAGTTTTAAATGGTAGCGTCCAGTCGTACATGGAAAAATAAAGCTGTGGTCAAATTAGAGTTTGAGCATGCAAAATTCTGTTGTACAGCGCTGCGAAAAAGGACGGGATTAAACAAGAAGATTAGACATTAAAAAAGCGAGCGATTGCTCCATATTTGAAATTTCTGTCCAGAGAAGTCATGTTTTGATCCTTGATTGGTCTCAGGCAGTCAGTGATGCGATTTCGCAGGTCGGAGTTTACCAAGCTTGAACTTTGCAAAGCAGTAAACTACTAAACTTGCTGAACGAACTTGCATTTCCGGTCTGATGCAAATGAATGGAAGTCCAGTGTGACCACAGCTTAAGGTGAATAGTCGTGAACACCTTGATTATTTGGATCAGCTGTGTTTGATTGGGGTTGGAGCAAAACCCTCCAGGAATTGAGTTTGAGACCTATGCTTTATATATTGGTAGCAAAGTTGATAAGCAATTACATATAGAGACTACATAAGTGGAACAACTGATAAATATAGTCTGGTAAAGCATAATCCAATAATTTTCTTTTACACTAATTCTTAATTCTTAACAGAGTAGACTTTATTGTAAAATGATTGCAAATTTATACATGGTATATATATATATTTTTTTTCAACATATACACAAATACATTAAGCGTTCAACAATTAAATATTAATCATCAGAGTAATCACAGCATTTCATCATAGATTAAAAAAAAGTCTATTCAAGTTAAACAAAGACATACTGTTAGCAAAATTATTGCATTGACTCCCGACATTGAATTCTTGCATCATATGAGTACCATTTTAGGTCGTGGTATTTATTATTATTCGTGTTTCTCTTCAGGCACGAATGACAGATTGGATATTGTGTAGACCGAATTCTCTTGTTTAAATTGCGGCTCAGTCCCGGTCAAGCCCTTGATATTCTCTGCGCTCTTTCTTGCATATTCATAAACATTCTTCATGAATGCGTCTTTAGTATTGTGCTCCTTTTTGAAAAGAATAATGTAAGATTTGGGCAAAAAGTGACAGCTCAGGATTCCATAGTTTGAAATAAGAATGACAACCATTTCCACAGCCGGCACGTATTTGCCACTGGTGGTGACATGAATCGGGATGAAGATGATCCACGCCATGAGGCAGATGACCATGCTGAAAGTGATGAACTTGGCTTCATTGTACTTCTGAGGTAGTTTTCTGCCTATATATGCAAACGTGAAGCAGAACAAAGCCAACAAAGCTATATATCCCAGCATTAACCAAAACATCACATAGAATCCCTCGTTACATTCAAGTAGAATGGATTCGGTCTGCACCTCTTTGTCTTTAAACGGCTTGTACAAGGTCAGCCAAACAGTGCAAATGATGATCTGTACCCCCATGCCGACGCTGACAATCATATATGGCTTATAGAGCATACAGAGAAGCTCCTTCAGCTCAAAGTTCATCTCGAACGCCAGCAGGATTTTTAAGGACTTGACCAGGATGCATGAGACGCACAGCGTGAAGCTGAAGCCGAAGATAACCTGCCTTGCCCTGCATGTCAAATCGCTCGGTTCGCCTACAAAGAAAACGACACTGATAAAACTGCCCAGCAGGGAGACAAGGATCAGATGACAAAGCGGCCCGCCTGCAGCCTTGACCACCGGAGAGTGTCTTTGCCAGAAGAATAGTGCGGACATGAAGAAGAGGAGAAGGACGCCGAGGGCAGCCAGTATCAGCAGGACAATAGCGAAGCCACTGTTCCAATCAAAGTATTCAAAAACCTTGGGATGACATTCAGTGCTGTTGGCCAATGACCACATGCTCTCACTGTCACATGGGGAACATTCATCAGCATCTGAAATTGAAAAACATTGCATTCGATTTGGAAATAAAGATTGAAAAGGAGAATTCTTTCATTACAAACTAAAATATTTTTTAATCTTCAGAACACAAAGTACGATATTTATAATGAATTCTGAGGTTTCTGTCCTTCCACAGAAAGTCTATCCACCCTGAACTCTGATGCTTTAAATTATTCATAAAGGTGAAGAAATAAATCCTTATGAATCGGTTTAATCTAAATCCAAGTCCTTTTATGCAAATTATATCAGTTCTTCTTATGAAGTGATGTCTCTTCAGAGGTCTCGGCTTTAACTGCTCAATTCATATTGATCTTCACAAATGTATTGAGATTTGGGTAAGCAGACTTTTAGACAACGGCGAATCAGAGGTTTCTTAGATTTCATAAAAAATATGACTTCATTTTTTTCCCCAAAGATGAACAATTTTCTTATAGGTTTAAAAAACACAACAGTGAGTAAATGATGAATTTAAACTACGAGTAGATTTTACTCAAATTTGCCATAATGTCTAACAGAAAGCTTCGTAACTTAAGTGACTTCTTTGTGAGAAATGCTAAACTAATTACAAGAAACTACACTCATTTTTGTTGATGAACTGAAACATTTATTTGCAAATCTGAGCATATTTTTCTGATAAAGTGTCAGCAAGAAACTTGCCTGTTATGTTGGAATAATGGTTTTCCACACAGGTGAGGCACTCATAACAGCATGTGTGCTGACCCTCTGCTGTTTTCTTGTACTGGCCTGGCTGACAGCTGTTTGAACACCTAGATACCACTTTCTATGAAGAAACAAGTTGAAGACTGTTTTAGGAAAATCTTTATTGAAAGCACGATTTTCTCCATTTAAGAAAAAGCAATACTATTTTAAAAAAGACTATACAGTGCTGAGAAACAGAAGACTTTTAAAAAAAATGTGGGGTTCCTGCTCTAAATCTTTATAAAGTAAACTGTAAAATGCAACAAGACATTTTACATGGTATACCAGTCGTACAATAGCATTTTGAGGCACCATGTCCCCTAAAGGGTATACTATTATAAGATTTTTGGAAATATAAATTTTTTTTACGTATTTGTGTTCTTCTGCATTGTTTTTTCTATGAGTGTGAGTAAAACTGGCATTACCCTTTAATGTTAATGTAATGACACATGCAAAAGCTGGGCATTGTAACATTTTAGCTGGTATTGTAAATATAACAAAATCAGATTTTATTAGAAAATATGTGGGTAAAACAGAGTATACATTACCTTAATTTCACTCAGATCATTGTGTATGTAGTGGAATCCACCTTTGGTTGGATCATATTCTGCTATTATGTCATCAGCATGTTCGTCAGATTGATCTCCTTCCCACAGGAAGAGATCATAACCCAAATTAATATCACCATTCGCATCAAATTTGTACATTTCTCCTCCATTCTCAAAAGTGATGCTCCGCAACTGCCTAAGGAGCTGAAAAAGAAAGTAAACAGCAGCTTTTAGAATGCTAATTGTGTGAGGCCAAAATAAAATCAGGCAGAAATTGTGTCATATTATGGTAAAATGTTACCTCCCAAGGCTGGAGAGCTGTAGAGTCCTGACATTGTCTTTCTGCACATAGTTTAGCCACAGCATTAGCAACAGCAGTGACGGCCATCTCAATGCTGAAAATCTTGTCCAAATTGGTGCTTTTCATCAGCTCCAGCACGGTATTGGAAGCATTGCCTGCGTTGAGTTTTAAAAATTCCTTCAGGAATGAATTGTTCATCTCATCTTCACTTTCAAACTGTAGATTCTTTAGGTACTGATGAAAAGATGTAAAATTTCCACTCTTGAAGGTAAAGCCCAGCACTTTCCCAATATCAGTGATGCTACCATCATTCAGAATATGTTTAGCCGTCGACCAGTTATCACTGGCAACCCACACCATGTTATTTGAAATGTTTCTACTCTGCAGCCCCTTAAATAGCAACTGCATTTGAGAGGATTTAGCAAACGAGATCACCACTCTAACTTTCGGATTGTTTTCAATGATGTTCAAGGTGTTTTCGATGTCTGTGTTTAGTTTCTGTTGATCTGCTAGTGAGTCTGGAAGGATTGCTTTAAAGGCGATGCAAATTCCCTCCGTTTCGGTGTGCTGTATGAAACCTTCCAAGGCAGAACGTCCATAATCTCCATCTGTAATGATAATGCCAACCCAGCTCCATTTGTTGGACTTTAGAAGTTTGGCCATGGCACAGGTTTGATACTCATCACTGGGCACAGTCCTCATGAAAGCAGGGAAACGACTTTTATCACTCAAAATCGTGGCTGTAGATGCGTAACTAATCTGCATAACAGATAAACAGACAGCAGCATGTTACCTCTAGCTTAATTTTGATTTGTGCACTGTGAGAGGAGAACTTGTAAAGGCCTACCTGAGGTATCATCTGAAGGTTGAGATCTCGAGCAACTGCGATTGAGATCTCGGATGAAGTGGTCCCAATTACTGCCATTATTGGCTGGACGGGTTGAGATGAGTCTTCTGGTGATTCACAGTCTGAGAACGGCCTCATAATATCATGGACAGCCCGCAGTGCAGTCGTGACATCAGAACATGTGTCGTAGATTCGGTATCCTAGAGTAATGTTCAAACTGCTCAACATGGGGGATTTGTTTGCCATTTCTACAGCATTAATCATCGCTAGAGCTTGATTTAGACCCTTTGTGTAGAATCTATAGAGGAACAAGAGACAATATGGTAAGCATAAGATGCTGTAGAAAAGACTTACTGGTATACACAGGATGATGATTATGCCTCATCCAATATTTGCTAAGATTACTTCTTCCCGGAGAAAGAAGCTCTTAAGGCTGTGACTTTTTTCTGTTCTTCATTTGGGGGTTAATCTAAAATGCCTGAGCAGTGTTTTTTATTATATCAATAAAAAATAACCAGACACACTTCTGAGTGTCACTTAGATTAATATATGTAAATATGCCCTGTGTGTTTTTCACTCATGTATAATAAGCATTTGGAAATTTGCATCAGCCCAGTAATTCGGCACGCCATGTCATGTCACATTTATTTATATAGCATCTTTTTAAAGTATAGCTTTAAGGCAAGCACATTTAATGCAAAACACTAATAACATTCTATTTCAGTATCTACAACAAACAGTATCTACAACAACTTCAGTTTAATTATGTCACAGTGATGTTTATAATGCCCCAATTGTTTTCTGTGCCACACCTCAGTGTCATCCTTATGTTTCCTTGATTTGTTCCCTTAGATACTACTTGCCCTTGTTGCCTCTTTGGCAATGTTTCCCTCACCATTATATTAGGGGTGCCCAATCATGTCGATACTTTTGTTTTTAATAAACAATCAAAATAGACTTACTTAATTTAGATTATTTAAGTGATGGCATGTCATTTCTTTCTCAAGATGGTTACGTGTTTACATTTCTCTGCTCTCGATAGATCACGCAGTGGAGTTCTGCTTCAATCACACAACTGAGCACACTCCCTCCACCATTAAAATAATGGGTGTTGAAAAATATGTTGTGTCAAAAAAATTCTGCAGAGCCAGAGGAAAGTAAATACATTCTGCTTTTTTAAGGCTCAGTGCTGTGCTTCGTATCCAGTCTGTGACCCGTGTCTTTATCACAATACATTGTCTTTATCACAATTGCATTGTATTAATCGCAAAACTTCTAACATGTGCCACAGATGTACATCTTGCATTTCAATCTTAAACCATCTTACATAATTACATTTTACATAATAATTTAGATTCTGTAGTAGTGGGTTGCAGCTGGAAGGGCATCCGCTGTATAAAACATATGCCGGAATAGTTGGTGGTTCATTCCACTGCGGTGAATCCTGATAAATAAGGCAGTAAGTCAAAAGAAAATGAAGGAATAAATAATAATATAAAGGCATACTAGAATGGATATATATAATGGTTATATTTAAATTTCTCAATAATCTATCTTTATCTGTCACAAATGTTGCTGCAAATTCTGAGAACTTTGAAATATTTCCTGTGAAAATATATCCCTATATCAGGCCTTTAGCCAGCCTATAAAAGGGGTGGTTCATTTTCTTAAAAAGTTGACCTTTTTGCAGTTATTCATCTTATTTTAGGGACATATTAGGCACTAATCTTTGGTGGATTTGCTGGATCAGAGGGTGATCATAACCACACTTTTTGATGCAACAAATATATTTCAACTACAAATTTGTAGTGCTTACCATATAATTTTACCACAAAGTGTTCATTTGCAAATGTGTATTTAAATTGTAAGTTATTTAAATTTTATAAATAATGTTATGAGCATTTTAAATGAAATATTTACATTTAAAAAATCTGAAAAAATTATTTAAATTACAAGTGTATTATCCTTCATCATTCAAAAAACTAAACAATTAAATATGTCAGTCTTGCTTTTGTCATACTGTCAAAAATGGCACAAATTAGCCCATATAAGGGCCAAATTCTGTCAGTGGGGGGGTGGGTCTTTCGAACCACTTATACCCCTCCTGGCTAAAGGCCTGTATATAGTGATTTATATAGCTTTTAATGCTTTAAAAAGTGATTCCTTATTAAAAATAACAAATTCTGTAAAATATAGGTCTGCTAAGTTTCCCAGGGGAAGCAACATTTGCAGAGAAAAATGCTAAATATTTGAAAAATAGTTTTTCCACCACCATGTCACTTTAGGGCCTCCCTACTCTTGGCTTTTATATTTTAGATATTTGTTTACTCCATTTTATATTCTAAAAAAAAAGTTTTATATACTTTTTAATTTGTGTGCTGCATTAGAATGATATTTTTGTATTATTTATGTTTTCCATTTTTCTCACTTGTAAGTTGTTTCATTTATAAATATTTTCCTAATGATTTAATGTTATGTAAATTAAATTATTAAAAAAACAACTGGAGACGGAAACCAGACCGGAGACGTCTGTCTCAATTTTATGTCTAAACTGTAATCAAACAAAGAATTTGTACCCTACAAATATATTACTGTTCATCAATTTTCCTATAACAAATACCGTTAAAACCTTCAGTCTCCAACATAAATACACACATTCAGCTGACTTCATTTCCCTTTAGTCTGACCTTCAGGACTGGATGAACGCTCACCTGATGCAGTCCGGATGCTCAGGGGCAGAGATGCTGTTGTTGCCGGTGTAGTTTACTGGCACCACTGCCTCATGGATGGGGAAAAGTCCTCCAATGATGATGTTTCCAGGGGCTGAGGCTCCCAACTGGCTGAACTGTGCAATTGAGGCTTCTGCGACTTTCATCAGCCCAGCCCATAAGAGAATGAAGCTCATCAAATCCATGTTTTCCCTGAGTTCACCTGAGCGACTGACAGGTGTGCACTTACACATCATCACTTATAAACCCCAGAGCTTTAAAAAAAGTAAAAAGAGAAAACACACATGCACCACCTTTTCAAGCCCCTCCCCCACCCACAAATAAATATAAAGGAGGTTCTTTCCTTGCACAACAGGTGAAACATAACCAGTGCCAAAAACACCCTTAACAAAAGAACAACCAACCACCAGCCTGTGTTTTTTAATGTATGTTTGACAACGTGTCATTAGGGTAACTGAAATACGCTTGCTTTGTTCTACTGAATATTCATTTGTTCTACTAAAGAAGCAAAGCTATGTAATACTTACAATAATAAAATAAATTACGAAGACTAAAATGAGAATAAAAATTGATTCAAAATATGAATTAAATTGGTTACTATAATAACACTATCCAAACTTTGGCTATAGTCAGTTCTGAGCTTTATAAATTATTGACGTTAACTAGTGATCTGAACAGTCAAATCCAACTAATACAGTTTTAAAAGGAAAGTGAAAAAAAAATGTAATAAATAATAACTTACAAAAAGCAAACAAACAAAAACTAATGTTAAGTAATGCAGTACATTTACTTGTTATTTCCTGTTTTAAATGTCACCAGTAAATAAAAATAAATCTTGCAAGTGGCTAATTCACGCCACCTTGTGGTGGTGACGTGTTAGGTTCTGTTTTTATCAATGCAAAGAGCAAGTTCTTTCATAGTTTGGTATTTATATAAATCAATTCTAAAGTATTGTTTTCTGTAGGAACAGTAATTGACTGCTACATTCATGTCTGGCACATTACTGCAGGTTTATTTGTGCTGCTGTTTTTTATCCCACTACTATTTTACCATTATTTTTTAAGAAGATAATAAAAGCTTTTAGAAATAGATAGTCTCAGAAGTCTATGGGTAAAGGATTAAGATAACAAATCATGGATAGGATGCAACTCTGACGCTAATTTTGATTGATTGGATTAGATTGATAATAAATAATGTTATCTCACTAGGTTATTTGTCATTGGAAATATTGATTGTTTTCAACATTGTAATGGAATGTTTTTCTTTAATATTTTATGAATCTACAAGATGATAAGATTAAGCAGCCAGCTGGCCGTTTGCACAAAGTAATCTGCAAATAAAACTGACATAAAAATGACATATAAAATATGGACAACCATACAAACATCATTTGGCATGTCAACGAATATTTCATCCTTAGCCAGTATCGGATACCTTAAGGATTTCATACCATTTCATACAGATATTAGGTTAAAAAATGGTCTCAATGTGGACTGAGCTACTAGCATTAAATGTTTCATAATGATGCACTCAAATCATGTGAACAATTAGGAAATGAGTTTTCGCTCACAAAATACGAATTTTTCAGATACTTACAACTCAGACATTTCCTCACAACACATAAGGAGTAAAAAGGAATTAAAAACCCTTCTACAATACAACAGTTTCTAAAAGATATAAAAACTGAACTTGTGATTAATAAAATAATTTCTAAAGGGGACTCAATATTCTTATCTAAGAATACAAATAACACCTTACGGATAAGGGAGAAATGGGAGACTGAAATGAATAGAACAATTTCTCTGGAAACTTAGGAGGAAGTTGGCAGTGAAGTGGATTTTGTGACCAATTCTAATATACGGAGAGAATTCAAATGGAAGTTACACAATTAGATCTTTCAGAACTCCACAAACAATTTCAAAATGTAACCCTTCCTGCTCTAACAAGTGCTGGAGAAACTGTGGACAGAATATTGTTAACCAAACACATTCTGTAGTCATGTCCTAAATTAAGTAACCTGGAAAGAAGTATTTAATGCCCTTAAGGAAATCTTCCATTATGAATTTTCTGAAGATCCCACACTTGCACTGCTAGGTGTATGCCCTGAGGGCTTTGATGACAGATAAAAAATGTACTTATTATTAATCAGAAAAATGTAACCTTCCCAAAACTTTTTTTTAAATATATTTTTAGACACATTTTTCCCATGCACCTCGCAAACAAGAAATCTACCAGGTTTTAGATACAAAACTATGTAAAGGTACAGTCTCTAAAACTGATAAAACTATTTCTTCATTTATTAGACAGTTAGGTTTCTCATCCTATTTTTAAATAAAGCAGAGCTGGAAATCAAATCTCATTCATGTTTTCACAGACAAGGAATGGTACAAGGCCCTGTCTTGTGTACAAACCTCTTCTATTCTCTGTAATCGTCATTCCCTACAATTCAAGTTATTGCATGGAGTATATTAGACTTAGGCAAAAATATCTAAATTAAATCCTTTTGATCCAAGTTGTGATCTCAACAAGCTCCAGCCTCTCTTTTTCATACTTTCTTGCTTTGTCATTCATTTTTAAAACAATTTCTGAATGATATCGTTTAGATATGGAGCCATGCCCCCCTAGTAGTATTTAATCCTACAAATGTTACAATCAAATGCACATGCCTTTTGTTTAATAATTGCTAAAAGGATTATAACACTGAACTGGAAAAATCCTTCCTCACCCAGTTACATACATTTGATGGAAAAATAAAAAATAAATTATATATATGACCTATTTTCCCTGCCCCTGGCTTAGTTATAAAATGGAGTGTTTTTTTCCTACTGCTGTACCCTTTGCATAAATTACATATATTTTCTGTCTTGTTGTATGGCCTACAATGTGCTACTTTTGTCTATGTTATTTTATCTATCTTATTAATATTATTATTATTTTAAAAAATATTTTAAATATTTTCCTTAATGCAATAATATGTTATTGTATTGCTTTATTCAGAGAGAGAAAAATGTGAGCAAATTGTGTCCTGCTGCTTGATCGAAACAGCTGATGCTGTGGCTCTCTGATAAAAAAAAAAAAAAAAAAACAGTTAACTAAAAATATTACTTATGACAAATCCTACTTTCTGCAGCTTTGAGGTTTCCTCCGGGTGCTCCGGTTTCCCCCACAGTCCAAAGACATGCGGTACTGTTGAATTTGGTAAGCAAAATTGTCCGTAGCTTATGTGTGTATGAGTGTTTTCCAGTGATGGGTTGCATCTGGAAGGGCATCCGCTGCGTAAAACATATGCTGGATAAGTTGGCGTTTCATTCCGCAGTGGCGACCCCTGATTAATAAAGAGACTAAGCCAAAAAGAAAATGAATGAATAAATTATGAAACGCACTGGTGTTTTTAAAATTAGAAAAAATCTCAAAACCTCAAGACAACGTCACGCTGCAATATCAAATGATAAAGTCATAAGTTGCATATATTATATACAAGAGCTAAACTCTGGAATTGGCTTCCATAGCTTGCAGTGGTGTAAAGTAACAAATTACAAATACACATATTGCTATTACTGAGGGTTTTTTTAAGTACTTTTAAAAATGTGTACTTTTACTTTAGTACATTTTAGTGCTTTATCAGTACTTTTGAAGTGCTATTTTCCTTTAACCTAGAGCAGTGGTCACCAAACTTGTTCCTGGAGGGCCGGTGTCCTGCAGATTTTAGCTCCAACCCTGATCAAACACACCTGAACTAGCTAATCAAGATCTTACTAGGTATACTTGAAACATCCAGGCAGGTGTGTTGAGGCAAGTTGGAGCTAAACCCTGCAGGGACACCGGCCCTCCAGGACCAGGATTGGTGACCCCTGACCTAGAGTTACCATGTTAGTGTATGGCAGGGGTGCTCAAACCCAGTCCTGGAGGGCCGGTGTCCTGCATATTTTAGTTCCAACCAACACACCTGAAACAAATAATAAAACAATGAAGGTATACAAAAACTTCCAGGCAGGTGTGTTAAAGGAAGTTGAAGCTAAACTATGCAGGACACCGGCCTTCCAGGACCGAGTTTGGACACCCCTGGTCTTTGGTGATTGGTCTAAGTAGATTAATCAGGCTCGTGCTTCAAATCTAATCAAATCACACAGTCAAAAAAGCATAAGACACATATGCAAAAATGTACAGTGTGAAAGTATTATAAGTGCCCATGAAGTACAAAATTGTTGCACGCAACGACCAAGAAACTGTTTAAACGGAGTACAACTGAAATAGGAAATGACCTTAACAACCAAGTGCACTACAGAATGTTATGTTTTTAACATGCACAGACTGCAACTGCTGAACACAGCTTTTTAGCCTGGGTTCAAAGTTCATAACCTAAGCGCTAACATCACAGCTAGATTTTTGCTTCTTAGGTTTCAGATTTTACTTCTCATGTAAACGCAGCCTGCTCTTTGTCTTTATTATACACCCACAGGCCACTTTATTAAGTACACCTGTCCAACTGCTCATAAACGCAAATTTCTAATCAGCCAATCACATGGCAGCAACTCAATGCATTTTGCTATGTAGACATGGTCAAGACGATCTGCTGCAGATCAAATTGACCATCAGAATGGGGAAGAAAGATTATTATGGGACTTTGAACATGGCATGGTTGTTGGTGCCAGACGGTCTGGTTAAAGTATTTCAGAAACTGCTGATCAACTGAGATTTTCACGCACAACCATCTCTAGGGTTTACAGAGAATGGTCCGAAAAAGAGAAAATATCCAGTGAGCGGCGATTCTGTGGGCACAAATGCCTAGTTAATGCCAGAGGTCAGAGAAGAATGGCCAGACTGGTTCCAACTGATAGAAAGGCAACAGTAACTCAAATAACCACTAATTAGAACCAAGATAGAGCACCTCTGAACGCACAACACGTCCAACCTTGAGGCGATTGGGCTACAGCAGCAGAAGACCCCACTGGGTACCACTCCTGTTAGCTAAGAACAGGAAACTGAAGCTACAATTTACACAGGATCACCAAAATTGGACAATAGAAGATTGGTAAAATGTTGCCTGGTCTGACGAGTCTCGATTTCTGCCACAACATCGGATTTCTGTGGCAACATCAGAGCATGGTAAGGTCAGAATTTGGCATTAACTACATGAAAGCATCGATCCATCCTGCTTTGTATCAATGGTTCAGGCTGGTGGTGGTGATGTAATGTTGTGGGCCCATTAGTACCAAATAAGCATCGTATCAACGCCACACCCTACCCGAGTATTGTTGCTGACCATGTTCATCCCTTTATGACCAGGGTACCCATCTTCTGATGGCTACTTCCAGCAGGAGATTGCAAGATATATGTCTATATACATCTTGATATAAGCGCAAACTATCTCAGACTGGTTTCTTGAACATGATAATGAGATCACTGTACTCAACTGGCCTCCAGTCACCAGATCTCGATCCAATAAAGCACTTTTGGGATGAGGTAGAATGGGAGATGTGTAAATGTGCAGCCGACAAACCTGCAGCAACTGCGTGATGCTATCATGTCAATATGGACCAAAATCCCAAAGGAAGATTTCCAGTACCTTGTTGAATCTCTGCCACAAAGGATTAAGTCAGTTCTAAAAAAGGGAAAGGGAAAAAGGGGTCCAACCAGGGACTACTGAAGTGTACCTAATAAAGTGGCCAATAAGTGTATTAATGTAGTGTTCTTCTCACATTAAAATGATTTTATACAGTCCATGAAAGGCAAATACTTTAACTTACAATTAGAAACAACCTTAAAAAATGCCACTGATGTAAGCACCATTTTTAGTTGCAGAGTGTAAGATTGAGTCATTTTCACAGTGTAATACCTGATACTTATTAATCTCCAGTATTTAGAAGGGCTACTTATACTTTGATTTGTACTTAGAACACATTCTTGTACTATAATTGCACTACACCTTTGCTAAGTAATGGTACTTTTACTCGAGTTAGGTTTTTCAGTACCCTTTCCACCCCTGATAGCTTGACGCTGGGAATAAACTCAATCAACATACTCACAATACCCAGTAAGCCGCAGGGAGTCTACTAAATTAACCAGTAGGAGGCCACCAACTGCACAGAGACCTGTTTGTGTAGTAAAGTCATGGTGTAGGCCACATTTGAGCAACTCCTGAGGACAAAAGAGCACCAAAACAATGTATTGCTTCTAGGGGAAAAGGAGGGGAGGGATGTGAAGGGAGGGAGGGAGAGGGAAACACAGGTTTGCTGCATTCTAAAGGAGCAAAAGGGCAATGTAGTACACAGCATGTCTCCAATGGTGTGGCTACCGAGATACAAGGGGGAAATAAACTGCTCAAGAAGCTGATAGGAAGGCAGAGATATTACAACAAAACAAGATAGTGTAGCTGAACCGTGTGGTGCCGTTAGGAGATTAGTAGAGTGAATAGATGAAGAGCTGAAAGAAAGAGAGGAAGAGAGTCTGAGACGACGGCTTCCTTGTTTACCAATCCGTGCAAACTTGATAACCAACAAGAGACAGAGAGAAATGAAACACTGGGCTATCAGACCGCTGGTGCCTTACTCATCTCGCCAAACAGGAACTTGCATTGTTTTCCACCTCTTGCATTAATTACAACAGAGATTGTGCAAAATTATGTCACTTTTTCATAGCTTCAGCTCCTTTTATGTACTTTCATTCCTTTGGGAATGCGGTTATCAAGAAGAAAAGCATTCCTGAGGTGACATTTATTGAATTAAGCCGGACGAAAACATTTATGCCATCAGTGTTCATAGTGATACCTTTATCATATGATAAAGAAAGACTGAAGGAGACGAATGCAGGGTTTGATAGTTAAATTTTATCTGAATGAAACTCTTAAACCATACAGATCTAGGAACTGTAAATAATATGCATATATGTTTATTATAATATTCTTTTAATAGTAATTACAATCTTAATACAAGCATTTGAGGATGATCTTAAACTGGCATTTTCAAGGTGGACAGCAGCTTGATACCAAAATTATTTGTTCACGCTAAAGCATGGTACAACAAAAGGAGGAAGAAAATATAGGGAATGAACAGCAAAACCAAATAACTGGCCATCTGATTATAGCTGAAAATCATTTTTGAGTGCCCTGACTCGAAAACAAATCAACTAGAAATAAATATCAACCTTAATAGCTAAGGACAGCAGTGATCAACAAAAGTAGAAATTATTGCACTAAACAGAACTGAACAGCTGTTCGGAAATACCAATCGAGTTCTAGAGTTATTTATTTATTTTTTGTCTTGTTAATTTCGAAATTACAGCAAAAATGAAAAAATGTCAAACCGTGGTCCTCTGAAAAATAAGAAAAAGTACTGCAGAAGTGTAAATAGGGCATTTCTCCAATAAATATTTAGGTAAAATCACTCAAATTGTGTTTTTAAATTTATAATCAGCTCCACAGCTGGATTTTCTACAGGAATGCTTTTTAAAAGAGCTGATAAATACTCTCTAGTTACCTAATCTTAAATATATTTTAGAAAGAAATAGATTAAAATGTTATCAAATTTACTGATCATTTGCCCAAATTACCGAAATCACCCTTGCCTAACAAATGTTGTTGTTTTTTTATTACTTAAAGGTGCATTACCAGTTGATCACAAACTACTTCCAGTTCGATTAAGCTGAATAAAAATGCACAGAAATTATGCAAAAGACACTGGGCGGAAGAAAAAACTTCGTACTGCAAGCTTTCTTTCTGTGTTCACTGCAGTGTAGAATGCTAGTAACCAAAAATATCATGGCATGCTTTTCGTAAACAAACTAGCAGTGCAATTTACACCTTAACAGTTTAACTGTTGCAGTCAATGATTGTATCCTAAAATTACCCGCAAAACTAAATGGACGCAAATCTAAACTGATTACATTTCTGATCAGTTCCAACAATAGATTTTCAAAAGCTGGACGGAGACTTAGTTCAATGCAGATAAATCTTTGCTAATGAGGTTTACGTTTGTAAGTATGATAAAGAGCAAGTATATAAATTAAGGAGGGGTTTCACTTGAAGTTCAGAGACGGATAAGGCATTCCAGGGGTACCTATTATGCAAAATGGGAGGAGCCATATTTGAATGTGGGGATGGCAACCTAAAAGCCAGCTATTGTTTTTTTTTAGTGTGTCATTGTTTTTTCCACTCTCTGAAATAAGGCAGGAGCACTGTTGAAAATCTACTCACGAATGCATACTAAAATGTATACACCAGTTGGACACATTCATTTCTCTTCTATGTGGACATTGCTGCATTCTCTCTGCAACTACAGTGAGGGAATTCCAAGTGTAATCCTACAGTCGTGCAATAGGCCGCAAGTTTTCATCCCTTCGTTAAATTCAAAAATTCTCCTTGCATACGCAGCTTGAATAAGCAATCCCTTAGTTAATCCCAGTAAAAGCAGTGATTGCAACTGCTGGCTTTCTGTTTCTCTCTCCCACCCAATATGCGGATGGCAAAATGTTATATAATCCAAAGCAACACGCTAATCCCTGCCCGTTCAAATCCAAACAGGTCAGAATCTTGTAATCTTTATTCCAGAGTCCCCAACAATCAAACGAGCCATGGAGGGATGAACCTACGACAAAAAATTCAGAAAATCAGAAATGTTTTTAAGACAAGACAAAAAAAAAAAAAAAATCACCTTGAGAAAAAAAAAATGCATCGATTATCATGTAATAATATGAAGAAGAAATAAACGTGTTCTTAAAATGCAAACCCATTGGCTGATCACCTAGCTACAGAAATTATCTTCTGTAACATTATACGTACACATCCCCTGTCCTACATTTAGTGCACATTTTAACAAATAAGTTTTACTAAGAAGAGTTTTTTTTCCTCCCAGACATTTAACATGTTGAAAATCATTACATATAATGTTGACAGGCAGTCGGAGGTTTGATCACATTTCACCCATGCTTTCTGCTCTAAAGTGGCTTCCAGTTATTTATTTATCAAATTTGAATCTTGAAGTTTTCTTTAGTCTTTGGTTTTTATATAACCTAGCACCATCATATGTTCCCGAAGGGATATCTATTAGACCCAGCAAACAAAGGTATTCTCCAAATTCCTCGCTCAAGGCTGCATGGCAAAGGTGATTGAATTTTTGACTGCAATCCTCTATCAGAACTGTGTCTTTGCTACCTAAATCTCTAGTTAAAATGATTTACTTACAACTCCATTTCCCAAACCTTAATCTAGGCTTCCCTCTTTGTTTTGTTTGTTGTCTGCCTTGTGTTTTTTTATCCATTGTTATGTCAGTGATTGTTACGTCAGTAGCTGCCTTGTATGTTTTATCTGTTTTTGCTTTGACTCTTACAACTCTTGGTCTTTCTTGATAGTACAACACTTCACTTTGAATCAAATGGTAGTTGTGTAAATAAAGAGAGAGAGAGATGGAGAAAGATAATCCACGGACTTTCTATGTAAATGAACACACAAAAACATTCAAATTCAATGTATTCAAAATAAACACTTAAAGCTGTTGCACTTCAGTTAAGGTTAGCTAGTTGAAGGATAGAACCTAGTTATTACCCAGTTTAGGTAATGACTATTATAAGTACATAGTATGTACATGCATAACAGCACTGTAAAATAAAGTGTTAGCCTAAAATCAATTATACTTTTAGTTATAAGTACAAAGTTACAGTATAAAAATATATTTGATTAATTGATTATTTGTTTTGAAAGATTAAAGTACAAATGAAGTCAAAACTAGAAAAATGATTTTGTTAGTTCACATTGCCAGTTTTGTGGTGAACAATTCATCTGTGCATGTCATTAAGAAAAAAATTTGTTTGCACTTGTAATCTAACATTAAAATCTAAAAATGCACTTTTTTTTAGTTGTCAGATTACGATTTTGAGGTGTTGGGTGTGGTTAACATACTTAACCATGCCCCTCCAACTGTTAGTTTTGACCATAAACTGAAATGGTGAGGAGGTGGTGTCGGGTAGGTTGTAAGAACTCTAAATTCTAAAACCCTTTTCCAGATCTTTCTGAATGAATTACCTACTTTAGCAGAAAAAAAACAAGCCACGGCCATTGTTTTGTCATTTAGATTCGGTTTCTCTAGGAACTGCATCACAATACGGAAAAAAATAGTTGCAGCTTCTGGTTCATGTGGACTTTAACAAATTTATTAACACAAAGCATTATCTCATCTGATAACTTATATGGTACTATGTTATATAACAAGGCTGCGTTCCACTTCAATGTATACACATTGTTTGGCAGGTGTGTGTAAAATTCTCTTAACATCTTCTCTCAGCGGATCCCTGTCGCCATTCTGAAGTGTGTTCCAATTCATGAGACATTGTAACATCACTGCAGATCATGTTTAATTGACCCCCATCCCAAACAGTTAAAGATAAATTACCTATAGACAAATATCTTGGTGTAAAACATTCAAAGGAGGAAATAAATGCAAAAAATAAATTATCTCCATAGTGGATTATAAGCCATCAAGGGCTAAGCCATTCAGGCCACTCAAAAGTTCCAGCAATAGTGAGCACTTGTGCAGCATAATTATTTACATACAACCAAGTCAATGAAGTTAGTGAGGGAAGGACGTTAAAAAATGCAAGCCAGGAGTGACCAAACCTGTTCCTGGAGAACGACAAAGTTCCGCAAAGTTTAATTTTATGTATGAACTAGCTTATTAAACTCTGCAGACTTACATATTTTAGGCATGTGTGGCTGAACTGTTTGGAGCTAAAATATGCAGAACATTGTTTCTCCTGGAGCAGGGTTGGACACCCCTAGGATATAATTTGAATTCTACCTCCACTAATAGCTCTCAACTCACCTGTGCCTGCAGTGGCCCATAGGGCACCAGCTCTCCATCTACAGTAAGGGTTCCTCGTGGGGAAAGTGGCTGAAGGCGGAACGCCCGAGCAGAAACGTGACTAACATAGGGAGAGCTAAGAGACAGATGGGCTCCTCTCTCCATTGCTAGGAACAGTCTAAGTAGTGTTGCTCGGGAGATGCCAGCCCGCACAAATGTCAGATGGATCAAGCCATCATCAAACCGAGCCTGAGGCGCAGCAAGAAGGTCTGCTCCCAGGTGGGACTGGTAGATGGCAAGAACCAGGACAAAATCACCTTCAATAGTAACCCAGTCCCTTGTAGGGAGAGGCTGGTCCAGAGGAGGTAGCAAATCATCCTCTGGAAGGTTGATGGAGGATGTCATGTGAGGTCGGTTTTTTAGGGGTCCTGCAGGCTCTGCTAGGTCAAAGTTGAAGGAAGGAGTTGGTGAATGAATAGAAGGGGATGGAGAAGATGAGCTGGGAGTGTTGGGACGTGGTGCGAGATAAGAAGAGTGTGGAGAGGCACAAGATGGAGATGAAGGAGGGGTTGGAGAAAGGGACAGAGAAAGGGATGGAAATTTCGGAGGGAGAGAGTTTGAATGGGATTGGTGGAGAAGAGAGAGGGGCCTTGGCCTTGAAGGGTTCTGGTTCTGGTCCAAAGTTTTGGGCTTGAAAGCTTTGAAAGGAGACTGACGGAATGGAGAGGATGAGATAGTGAGGGCTCGCTCGCGAGACTTGTCCAATGAATATGCCTCTTTCTGAAAATAAGTGCCATTTATGTCCTCATCCTCCTTGCCATAGGCTGCCAGCTCCAAGTCTTGGTCAGTGTCTGCACCAATCGGTTGGCTGAAGAAGGCATTAATTATTTGGCTAGAGGGAGCCGAGTTTTTACGTAATGCATGTTGCAGTTCAGGTGGTGTTGTCTGATAACTTCCGTCACAGTCATTTACTTCATTTGTGTCACTTAAATTTCTTGCATTTGTCAACTCTTGGCCATCTATCTTACTCTTTCCTGAATTATTTTCTTCTTCGTTACCATTATTCTTGGCTATGTTGTCACATTCATCCCTTTCAGTTGACTCAGAGCTGGTGCCAGACATCTCCTCCATTTTCTCTTCTGCTTCTACCTCTCTCTCCCGGTCTTCTGCGAGACTGCTGGCTCTCACTACCCCAACCCCTCTTGCCCTGTCTCTCCTCCTTTCCCTCTCCCGCTCTCTCTCCTGTCTTTCCCGCTCTCTTTCCCTCTCTCTTTCTCCATCATCTTTTCGGAGACTTCTTTGTTCACTCAGGCCCATGTCAGAGCATGTGCGGTGGATGGGTGTGCGACAAAATCCCTCCAGACCTTCAGTAATACTGCGCGACAGGGGCCTCCGGGGTGGCTGAGGTGTGGCATCAGGGGACGGGTTGACTACAGCAGGAGGCAGGTAGGAAAGGCGACCCTTATAAGAGCGCAGAGAAGCCAATCTCACTAGTGTTCCCAGTGTAAAACGAGCTGAGCCCAGCCCTCTGTAGCGTTCGCTCTCTATGTCCACATCAGAAACAAAACCCCAAGCCACAGAAAGGAAAGAGAAAAGCCTCCTGGGAGCAGGTGGATGCCCATTTTGATTAGACGTGGATGATGAAGCACACGGGCTGGTTGTAACAGAGACCAAGTCCAACGGTTTAACCCCACCTCGGCACAGCAGAAAACAGCAGTTGAGGAGGAGAGGCTCCCGTAGGCACATGTCATATCTATAAGAGAGAGAAAGCAAAATAGACAATTAACCATATTTAACAATACCAGGAAGAGTCTTGGGGTGCTTTCACACCTAGACCTTTGTTTCAGAGCTTGTCTTGTTTGTCCAGTTAGCATGGTTTGTTTGGCATATGTGAATCCTGCAATCGTGCTCTGATCTGTGCCAAAACAATCGATCTGAGATCACCTGAATGAGGTGGACTCTGGCTTGACTGAAACGAACTGGAGCGGATCCATTGTAGTTAGAAAGCAAAATGATCCAATAAACTAACGAACGAGGCTATATCACAGTGTATTATGGATATGTAATAGACATATATATACACACATATGGCTATAAGAAGAGAAAATTATGAGTAGGGTGGGATGTTATTCCTATCGGTAAATGCGTTTCATGTTAAATGTGAAAGTGAAAGCATGCTGAATTATCACAGAGAGCTGTTTATGAGTTAGGAAAATTAACCAAACTGCAGCCTTGGTTTATCTGTTATTTCTCTATATAATGTAAAGCCTATAATGTATAATTCTTGCCAATGGTTATGTATGAGAAAGTCTTACCTCTCTGATTTATGTTTGGTGTTGATGTTTGTAGGTGTCACAATTCAAAATTAAAGTGCAGCTTTTCACTTATAATGTCTTATTGCTCATTGCCATAAATTAAAATAAGGACGCATTACAGCTGAGTGGGACCCTGAAACTCTGACCAATGTGAGGAGAGTATACTCGCACGTAACTTGTTTTAGCTATTTTGGTCCATTTAGAAACTTTGCAGTGTGAAAGCGAACCGCACCAAGAACAAAGGGCAACATTGTAACAATTTTAATCCCTGTTTCAGAACAAAAGAATCGATCTACTATGTGAAAGCATCCTTAGATTTCCTTACATAAAAAAAATATTTCCAATATATATATGAAACATCATTGCATAACAGACCTTTAATGGGAGTTTAAAAATAGCTAGGCTGGTTTTAGTACATCTACACTATAGCAAAGAACTACAGAGAAATGTCACACTCATGTTAGAATCAAAGGCACCATTTCTGTATCAACTACACAAACACTTTTCCTTCTACATTCATTTTTCCTTCTACATACTACATATGTCATTCTTCAAAGGGAATAGTAACAGAAGGCCCTTTATATGCACATTGCAGCATGTGAAATTGTTCATGTAACAAAGCATTAAAAATAAATTGCACCAAAGAGGAATGCAAATACGCATGAAGAATATTGTTCCAAATCTGTATGTTTTGCATTTTAAAAAACATGAAAAAATTAAAACAAAAATCTCCACATTGAGTAAGAAAGAAAAAGTAACAATATAAATATTTTGGATTGTGGGTGAATAAATAATGACCACTTCAAATTTTAAACTGTTCTTTTAGAAATAATGGAGGCTCTCTAAATAACTGCACATTTTCACAGTTTGTACTAAGTGAGCTCAAGTACATTTCATACCCAGCATGGTGGTTGATGGAACCAGCAAGTGCATTTCCAGAGCCACAAGGCAGAATTCCCACAGGAGTTTTTATTGCTTGTTCCCAATCTGGCCTTTCCATAAGGCCATTTATCACCTAAAGAAAAAGAACACATTAATTATTATGTAAATTATATATATATATACACATACATACACATACAAGCCTTATGGCTGATCACCTAGCTACAGAAATCTTTTATCATCTTTTATGTACACATCCCCTGTCCAGCATATACTATATATTTTTAAAAAATTTGTTCTACTAAGTTTATCTTAGCCATTTGACATTTTGAAAATGATTACAATAAAAATTCACACAAAACAAATACTGGCAAAAATTTGACTGATTTCATCGAAGCATTATAATAAATAATTATGCAAGGTGTGATGAAAATATCCACCTCATGCAAAAGTCCATCTCCAGACACAATGACGATTCCATCCCATTCTGGTAGTGAGATCTCTCTGATTAGCTCACGTGCGTGATTCTGACGCTCTGCACAACAACAAAAATCACATCCGTTCAGTGCAATTCTGACCACTATTGCTTTGTGTACATCAATTATATTCTGAGCCATTTACAGCTGACATCTTATTTGTGAGATTGCACATGTTTGGTCTTACCTGTCTGTATGAGGTTATAGCTGATGTTAGCTTCTCTTATCATTGGAAGTATGTGCGTTTGACACCATTGCATTGCCTGACCCCGGCCACTGAATGGATTGACCAGCAGCAACAGTCGACGGGGACGAGGCAACATGCTTTTGCAAAATTCTGCCCAATACAAATGGAAAAACAAATGAGCGTAAAGCCTTCAATCTTAGGCAAAGTAAGCACTAGGCCAAACACTAAGCAACAGATGAAGTGATCTGAAAATAGAGTGTTTTTAACAGATATAAAAATAAGCACCCCAAAAAATACACGTATTTCTCACCCTCATTTTTAAAAATCCTCATAAATTGAGAATTTAAAAGATCAAGTTAAAGATATCCAGCTAACCATTTATTCAATAAAACGGTTTATTAAAGGTTGAATTGTTTGATATCTTAAGAGCAATTCATCATGTTTTTAAGATTTTGATTTGAGAATTTGAGAGATACGTTATCTTTCCAGTGCACAATGCATGTACATTCCTGATCTTCACCTAGATTTTATCTAAAGACTTCTTTCTTCCCACATAGGGCAAAGTTGTGCTGCTTTTATTCAGCTGTTGACACTTATTTTGAATTCATCTTTCTCTAGTATTTTGAAATTAATTGAGACAAGAGTTTTCCAGAAATTCTGTAGTTGTACGGTACGGTACAGTTCGGTATGCTTTTATGTCTGGTTTCACTGTCAAAAGCAACCAATAATGTCAACATTGCTTAAATAAAAGGTATAACTCTTTCATGAATGAATTGTGACATTATGTTTTAATGTTGCTGTAATGTAATCTATAAACATTGTAGTTTTACTTATCATTGAAAACATGATCAAATATCTGAAAAATAAAAGTAACAAAAAGTGTATTAACAACTCACACCACAATCTGACCCTGCCTCAGGGTTTAATCTGACTCACAAACTACAAACCAACAAATATATTAACATCAAATAAAGGTATTTTAATGATTTACTGAGCTGCAACAACTATAGCTAACATGCAACTACAGCACAACAGTTTAAAAAAAAAGACAGAGCAACAACACGCGGCATCTGGTAAAGTCAATAAAACCTGGCGTACTGCTACCGAATGATCTACACTACTCAAAACAGGCTATGTTTTCCCTGCCGCAGACCCACCCAATCTCTGACCGTCAATGACAGCATGTGGTACACATTATGAGTGCAAAGCAAAGGGGAAAAAAAAAGAGCAGACTGAAATAAGGCAGAAGTGAACAGTTAAACTCTTACACAAATAAATGCAGACAGCAATGATTCATGCTCATATAAATTTAGCTCACCATAAAATTAAATCAAAGTAACATCATATTTACAAGAGACACACTAGTGACGCCACACTAATGCAACAGCACTGACTCAGACGTCGTGAAGAATTAGCAGCATCTAGATGTGTTTTTACATTTAGCAAAGACATTAAAAGCTATTTGAGAGGGTAGGTGAGTCAAATGGTTTCGCAGAAACACAGACACACATAACCACCTGAATACAAAGCAACTGTGAATGATCAAACTCTGAGACCCACCTGTAGTGGAGCTGACGTCCATCCCCCTCAGCAGGCTCTGTATAGCAGCGTTCCATTTCTCCGCCTCAGCTCGGCTCTCTGCCAAATACGCCCTCACCTGTCTGTGTCTAGAAACACCCTTCCGGCGGCGTCCCGGAGGGTACCAGTAAAGCACTAGTAAGGGAGGGGCTGGTGAGCGTGGGCAGCTGCATCCGGTCAGCTCTGCCATAGGCAGAAGCAACCTGGACTGCTTCCCTGCACGTGGAGACAACCGCTGGACATGGATGTGAGTTGGCGTGAGGGTCAAGGCGTAGTTAGTGGAGGCAGGGCTGGAAGGTAAAGACACACCTCCAGGACTGTTAGGGCAGCTGTTGCTGTTACTTCCACTGCCGCCTCCACTACTCCAACCACCAAACTGTCCATGCAGCAATGCTTCCTCAGTCATGGACGGGCTGTCTGGGCCAGGAGAACGCATGCTCAATGTCTGGACTCAAAAAGTAGTGCCACTGGGAAGCAAAGGGTAGGTTTGGGTGAGGGCCTCATACAGAGGTCTACCTTCAGCTTTGTAGTGAGATGACTTTCTGGACGGATGAAGTAGACGTTTGGAGATGTTTTACATAAACTGAATGTTCAACAAAGTTATAAAGGATGACAGCGCTTCAATAGGTGTCTGTTCAAAATAAAATTAAAAACTTCAGCAGGCTTTTCTTTCCCTGATAGTGTTAAATCGTTCCAATCAGTGCAATTTTGCCTGGAAACAATGCTAATTCCTCTTGTGATCATCTGATCAAAACACAATACACAAAAGAGATTTCCAGTTTAGTATTGCTTTGTCCTAACAAATAAGTCCTAACAATATCCTAACAAAAACTATATTTTTGCTTCATAAAAGGTGCATTTGCTTTTCTCATTTGTGTCTTTATGTGAACATACTGGCAAAATGTCACAAAATGAGGAAAGGTGCAAGTCCTTTGTCAAGGCTAAACGGATTTCATTGTGCATCTACATAAATAATCATTCATCAATTTTTAAAGTGACTCATTTTAACAATTTTCCTCTCTTGCAACTCTTTTAAATAAAACTGGAAGCACAATTTCAATTAACAATGCATTTCTTAAAGGTCAGAGAGCTTTAAACTTTATGATAGCTAAAAATAAACACAGCAAGGTTACAATAACCCTAGAAAAGCTACAAAAATTGTTCAGTGACAAACAAGCACAGAGTGCAGAGGTAATGGCCGGACGAAGATAATGTTTGAAAAGAATCCAAATGAAGCCTTATCGAGGTGTACAACTGAAAACACAGTTCCTCTCCAAAGACAACAAGGTTGAGGAAGAGATAGAGATGAACGGGATGCAACTTTTGGTTTTGGTCAAAAACAGTATCAGAGATTGTAGTAGTGCTGGGAACGCAGGCATTTTAGCTCACCCAATGAAAAAAATGCAAGAAAATCCAAGATTTGATATCCATTAAGGTTGAATTCTGTTCTCCGGTTCTTGCAGGACAGTCCTCAAAAGGGTAATAAATAAAGCACAGAATACAGAAAGTGGAGTAGTGCTGGAACAGGGTATCTCAAGTCATGGTTTTCCTCCTTAGTCGCTGTTTCAGGTGCCCTGATACATGGGAAAAGAGACAGAAAGAGAGAAATTACATTTTGCAGATTATGGCTGCACGAGTCTGGTTATCATGAGAATTACGGTTTGCTTAAAATCGAGATCACGATTTTCTCACGATTCTGTAGTTGTTGTAGTGTAATATGTTATTATTGTTATTTCTCAAATATATGGTAAAACAACAATAATAATATTAGGGCTATGTTTGGGTCTACTGTTGGTAAAATGCCAAATTTTGTATAGACTTTGTCTTTAAATGGTGGACTTAAACAGACTTTAAACATGTACTGGTTTTTAATTCACAGTAAAATGATGACGTCAGAATGCAACTATTCATAGTTCTGAAGTTGAATTATTATGTTTGCGACATATACTTGTCATTTGTTATTTACAACATTATTAGACCTTTTTTTACTGGTAAACTGAAACATTTGTCATTATCAGATTCCCTTTTTCATTTTATATAACATTATATAGGCTAGAGTAGTTATACTGAACATTTATCTTCATGCACAACACTTTGTGTTTGCTATTAAAGAAAAAAAGCATACCAAATCCTTGTTGTAAACATAACTCTAAAATGCGATATGATTACTTAAATTAGTGTTTCTCAACCACGTTCCTGAAGGGCCACCAACACTGCATGTTTTGGATGTCTCCCTTGTCTGTCACACCCATTACAGGTCTCTCAGTCTCTGCTAATGAGCTGATGATCTGAATCAGGTGTGATAGGTTAAGGAGACATGGAAAATGTGCAGAGCTGGTGGTCCTCCAGAAACATGGTTAATAACCATTGGCTTAAATGATGTGCACACTTTCAGTTTCACTTTTCACAGCCGAGTGCACTCGCTGTCACGTTATTTACAACTTTATTACCCGTTATTCACAGCCTATGCAGGATCTGTTTCCTAGTATACATCATTGGCGGGTAAACGCGCGTCCACTCGGTAGTAAACTAACAGTGCTTCAGCTCGTGTGTGATTTTGCGACTGTGAATACATAATTATATTATGACAGAAATCACATTTTGGTGTGAATTTATTTACATCTGCTAAATATAGTTTGTGACACTTTTACACCATTTGGAGGTGTCCATGTAGCTGAGCAACGCATGTAAAACAATGTGAAGACTTGTGCAACCGCCTTTATGCTTTTCTCACTACCTTGAAAATATAATTGGCTCAATCGCAGAAAAGCTGAATCAAGATCATGTGTACAGTCGAATTAAGATCACAATTTTTTTTGATTAATCTTGCAGCCTTATATCCAATATTCCACAAAGCAATACAAGTAAGATGAATATTAAGTTTTCTTCTAATTGAAGAATTTCTGTCAGAGAAGATTTTTTTTCTTGATTCTGAATTCAACATCTTTACTACCTCTCTAAATCAATGCAATGTTGAACTGACCCTTGACCTGCACCTCGCTGTAAGAGACTCAAGTAATCAGATAACATATAGTGCAATATCTTCAATGATCTGACATCAGCAAAAAGAATTATGCTGAACAATACAATTCTGTTTCTCAACAGAAAGAGTGTGGCAACTGTTAATCTGAGGAAATGTGAACCGATGGATTTACAGACTAAATACAAAGTTCATTCTTCAAAATTTCCAAATGCCTGTGGTTCGCCAGTGCTAGGCAACCCAAAAAAATGCAGGGCCGTGTCATTTTAAACCAAACAGAGAAGAAAACCTGCTGGGGTGGAATTACACCTGTTCGGCATCAATCTTGGATGACGCCGTATCTTTAAATTCCACAATTGAGCACGAAACACAACACCAAGAGTCAGGATAAAAAGCAGAGTTAAGCAGCATTTGGAGGTTTAACTCAATGGAACACAGAGGAATGTTTGAAATTTGAACTGACAACAGATTCAGCAGATTAGATCTCATAGTGTGAGTTTATGGCTAACAGGAAACGGCTGCAATTGAGAGGCCTAATATATTGAGTCAGTCTATAAACGTCTAGGACGAGAGACGCATGACTGTGTAAGACATTCGAGCTGTTTGTTCAACATCTCTAGTCTTTGTTTTGGAATTTAGTCAGTCGGTGAGTCGACTCAATGCACAAATATGCGACTCTTATCATGCACTTTAATTTTCTTCCCGTCCTGCATTTTAAGACTCATGTGAAATCAATGCTTGGCAAATTTCCAGAACTGTTAAAGAATAATAATAATTCAATAAAAAAAACCTTTGACGTTCACTTCGCCCACATGTATCCTTAAAAAGCTAGGTGGTGACATTGCCAAAAAAGCAAGACCCACAAAAGACCAAAAGTGCATTCCTCTATAAAGCTGCCACCTTTCTAGAGCCAAAGAGCCTCTGTTGACTGTCTGGGCTTCACATGAATGCACACTTTGTCCCCTTTATCACCAAAAAGACTTTTTACTGCGTCAATGATATGATAGTTTGAAGATTTATTCAGATACCCCAAAGCCTTTGACTTACAATTAGCCAGTTGCGATCTAACAGATCATAAATCAAAGATACTGATGACCTTCGCACAGTTGTGTAGATCTAGGTCTTCCTTTATGCAAGTATTTTATGAAATTGATAAACTCACAGAAAATAAATTGTGCTTTGCAATCCAGACTGAGTAAAGACAAAAATAAAAGGCTCTATTTGACACGTTAGAAATCCATCAGCACCCTTACACAATTACTAAGTGTTTCCGAATTTGACAGATGGCCAGTCAGCTGTGACAGTGACTAGTTAACTAAGGGAAATGGCTTTTATTCAATTGACTGAACTTGTATTATAGTACAAAAGGCTGCTCACGTTTTGACATTTGGAAATTATAATGCATGGTCATAGCTGGTTGAGAAAACAAACAGTCCATGTTATCTTGAACCTGAGGGTACTATAAAATGAATTGCAGGCGAAACGGGTTTTCAAAAGACCATAAAAGCTAATGTCAAGCAAATTAATAAGTACAACTGCAGTTTCTTAGCAACTCAGAGGCAAACTCGCATATAAACACAGCTAGCTGATGACAGGCCAACACAACGAACTAGTAACATTATATGATCAGGATGAATGGACTTAATTGTACATATAGGAGGCGTTTACATCCTTGAATGTAATGAAGTATAAACCGCGGTCTTATCCCTGTGATAATTGTATTCGGAAAACATGTTGTTCATGTCATTTTAAATAACCCTGCGTACGGGAGCTCAGACACATCAACCTGAAAAACGAATCTGTTTCTGTTCAAATACTTTATCAAATATGCCGAGCTGTAAACTTTTATGCTCCTGGCGGGATAGTGATACAAATAAACGACAAAGCGAAAACAATAGCGGACTTACCTGGCTTTTTTGTACCCCCTACATCGCGAGTTTTCCAGCTTTCCTGAGCTGTAGGGGAGGCACGAGCGTTTTCAGGAAGTCTATCGAAGCGGTGGGCGGAGACAAGCGGATGATTGACGTGATAAACGTACAATCATGAAGTACAACTCGTCTGGTCAGTCCTATCTCGGCGATAAAATACGCTTTTGCGCGATACTCCCATACTCCCCAGTTCAACCTAAAAGGCCCAAGAGCTTATTTTCTACGCACTTTCTCTTTTGATAATCAAGGATATTTAGCATAGCAGTTATTTAACGTTCATATTACGGTTATATTCGCAGAATATATAGAGTCGAACTGTGCACATTTAAAAGTAAGTCATATGTGAAAAGCGGAAAATGCGCAGACACAAGATATAAGAAATTATCTTGTAAAAAAACCTGGTCATTTTAAGGGTAGAATATATGTTTAGTCATAGTTTGCTTGTTAATAGATTTTAATAGGAATAATGTTTATCATGAGAGAGCCCAGAGACAGTTTGTGGATGTGGAAACATCATTATTTATTGCAACATTAATCATTGCTAAAACTATCTTTTTTATATAAACTTACAAAACTAAAATTGGCTCAATTTATTAGAATAAACATGAAACACGTGAAATTTAAATGAGAGTTTTAACAAAACTTTCCAACATTTTTTTTATTTCCACAAAAAGACACATAGATAAACATATACATGCATTGATATGCATAAATGTAGGTCTCTGACTGGGTAAAACCACTCATCTATATAGATGAGTGGGTAAAACTCATAAAAAGCATTTTAAAAAGATCATTTTTGCACAATATTTTTACTTTTTATTTACTTTAGATTTTCTTTACAATATTATTACTTTTTTAGTTTGCATGCCACAACAGATTACACAGTTACAAAATAATAATCATGAAGACACAGCAAACATTTTACACCCTCTTCTCCCTCCCATCAACCCATTCCCTAAAAAACAAACAAACAAAAATAAAACAAGGACAATAAAGGGGGATATGTTTAAATCAGGCAAAGAGTGTTTCCCAAGACTATGTTTAGACCCTACTCCCTCAGAACTTGTTCTTGTTATAGCAAACCACTAACCTTTTACAGTTGAAGTCAGAATTATAAGCCCTTCTCAATTATTAGTCCCTGTTTATTTTTTCCCCAATTTCTGTTGAACGGAGAGAAGGTTTTTTCAACACATTTCTAAACATAATAGTTTTAATAACTCATTCCTAACAACGGATTTATTTTATCTTTGCCATGATGACAGTAAATAATATTTTGCTAGATGTTTTTCAAGACACTTCTATACAGCTTATAGTGACATTTAAAGGCTTAACTAGGTTAATTATGTTAACTACGCAGGTTAGAGTAATAAGCCAAGTTCTTGTATGACGATGGTTTGTTTTGAAGACAATATTTTTACTTTTAACTTTAAGCTATACATTTTAGAAAAATATATAGCTTAAAGGGGCTAATAATTTTGACCTTGAAATGTTTTTAAGAAATTAAAAATTGCTTTTATTCTAGCCGAAATAAAACAAATATGACTTTCTCCAGAAGAAAAAGTATTATTAGACATACTGTGAAAATTTCCTTGCTCTGTTAAACATCATTAGGGAAATATTTTAAATAGGAAAAAATTCATAGGGGGGTAAAAAAACTCTGACTTCAACTGGACATTGTCTTTTAGGAAATTTTAAAAAGGTCTCCAGATATCTTCAAACACATTTTGTTTTTTTGTGTTTTTTTTTTTGACAATGTGTGATCTTTTCCATCAACATATGTGACCATTTTTTTCATCCCCTTTCTAATTCTAGGTTCAATTATTAAGAGCAACAATATTTTCAGCTTGTAAAATAAACATTTCTATGAATCTGACCTCTTTGCTTTGTCAGAAAGGGCTAACAGGAAATATACCCAGGATAAAAGTCCTAGGATCCAATGGTAATTTCTTTGATAAAATTTAGTCAATCATTTCAATAACACCTTGCTAAAAGGGTTTCATTAGATCCATTTTTTTTACTAATATAATGTTTAAAATGGATAAGATATTGATAATATGATATTGTTTCAGTAAGAAATGGAGGAGAGATATGTATGTTTATATCTAATTTCCTAATACATCAATTGCATAATGTAAGACAAACAATGGATGAATGATAATATGAATTAGGATATCATAATTATTCATTAATTTTCTTTTTTTTTTTTGGCTTAGTCCTTTTATTAATCTACGGTTGTTGCAGCGGAATGAACCGCCAACTTATGCAGCATATATTTTACGCAGTGGATGCCCTTCTAGCTGTAACCCAGTATTGGGAGACACCCATGCACTTCCATTCACACACATACACTACAGACATCTAAGCTTATTCAGTTCACCTATTCCACAGGTTTTTGGATTGTGGGAGAAACCGGAGTATCCAGAGAAAACCCACGCAAACACAGGGAGAACATGCAAACTCCACACAAGCAACGCCAACTGACTTAGCCGAGGCTCGAACCAATGACCTTTTTGCTGTGAGGCAAGAGCAATACCTACTCCGCCACCATGCTGCCATATCATAATTATTATAGTTATAAACACACACACACATATATAGTTATATATATATATATATATATATATATATATATATATATATATATATATATATATATATATATATATATATATATATGCACTGTTCTCAGCATATATAAGTACACCCCTCACAAATCTATCTTTTAAATTCATATTTTTAATAGGAAGCTATGCAATATTAAATTTGTGCATATACATTAGATTAGGTAATACTGAAGCCAAATCTGGAGCTTATATAACGAAATAACTTAACACCCAAATTTATATGTTATAGAAAAATATTAAATACAAATTTTAAAAAAGGAAAAATCAAGACAAGCAAAAAATGGAAAATTTTAGTTGAAACTGTGTAGTTTAATTTTATTGTATCATCTTTCAATTTCCAAATATATTTGGTGAATAAAACATTATTTTAATAAATATATCTGTTTAATAAAGCTGTTTTGTTTAAATGCACCAAAATAAATTGCCTATGTTCACTATTTTATACACAAACTTGTATACTTGTTACAAACGAAACAATATTGGGAAGAAAAAGGCTAAGACCCAGGGAGATTTTTTTTGGTTTAAAAAAAACGGTCTCCTTCCGTAAATATAACCTTTCACCTTTTATTTTGTCCAATGGGGTTAGCTCTCAGACGGAAATGATCGCAACTTGAGAATTGACTGACAGGCATTTTTAACGAATCATAAGAACGGGAAAAGACGGGAGGCGGGAGCTGCAGCGGGTAACGGTGGGCGGAGTCTACCGTCCATCTTTAATGTACTGGACAGAAGGGGGATTGACGAGCTGAAAACATTACCAAATTTGAAATAAGGAATTGGCGGATATTTTGGTCCTGGCTGACACACAGAGATACTGACGAATATTACACACGTTTGAAAAAGGTATACGGCGAACGTGCATTCAATTTAAGAGTGTAAATCCCCCACACCTTCTGTTGGAAAAACTATGTGTGTGCTAGCAGAGCGTTAGCCGTCAGCGCTGCTCGACATCACAACAACAGCAGCTTAATCCACGTTAACGGCAGAAATATGCAGTATACAGTCTATAAATACTGTCAGGGTGACATTTGTTCAATGCAGATGAGATATGGCGATGAAATGCTGCTGATCTAAACGGTTAGCATCATGGTGGCTAGTGATCAGAGGCTGCGTAAATCTGCGTAAACACTCTGTGAATGTGTTGGCGTTACGGTATAAGTGATCGAAACTGGGGGAACCATCAAGTCGGGCTGTCATTGAAATATTCATTGTTTTCTTTTATTCTGGGGTACTGCAAAGTCTATAGTTGCGTTTATTTGTGGGCATGGGAAGAATTTGTGTAGGACCAAACTTTTAACCGTTTTTCTGCTCTCTATGGTGCAACCTAACGTTAGTTGAGCAGAATGTGTTGATATCAGCCTTTTCTATTGAGGTTTATCTGCGTGGAGCAGTAGAAACACTTACCATCTGGTTCACACTAAATGCTCTGCAAGTTAACAGTCTCTCTGATGCCTTTGCAGTGACAGAAGGTATGAAGACAGTATCATAGCGAAGCCATGGCTGATAAAAGAAAACTTCAAGGTAAGACAACACGGTGTAACGCTGAATATAGAGCTGTTTGGACACAGTTGTTTCTGTTTTTTGTTAATCATTTTATTTCATGACTTATGCATCATGTTCTTTACACATTCAGGTGAAATAGATCGATGTTTGAAAAAAGTTGCAGAAGGCGTCGAACAGTTTGAAGACATTTGGAAAAAGGTAAAACTCAGTGCATACTGCAAATATAAGAAGTTAAGGTAAATTTGGTTGTCTATTCGCACATTCGTTTATTTTTTATGTTCCCTATATGGTTTACCAATCTACTTTGAATATTAGGTCTGAAATCCCATTATGTATGACTTCAAAACAAAATTAGCACTATTTATTTGAGTGTGAACAATGTTTTGATGTGAAAGTTATTGGTTGACAATATTATTTCACTACTTAAAATATAATATCAGAAAGGTATTATTTTTATTTTTAAATTCTAAGGAGGAAGTCTGAAGTCCAAATATAAAACCAACTTTACCTCAATTAAGAGAAAGCAGGCGTCCACTTGTTATGTTTTAATAATTCATTTCATTTTCAGCTTCACAATGCAGCCAATGCCAATCAGAAGGAAAAATACGAGGCAGATCTCAAAAAAGAGATTAAAAAACTGCAGGTATGAAATCGCTTATTTGACATTTAGTACAAATATCGTCAATAACAGAACAGATGGAAATGAAGATGTCTTGAAATGTTGCGTGGCCAATCAAAGTAGAGAAGCAGAACTGTTGCATCAGATAAATTATTATATAGCCAAGTGGGGGGGGAAATGTGTACTCAATTATTATAATTGTTCTCACCTGTTTTTCTTAGCGACTACGAGACCAGATTAAGACATGGGTTGCATCCAATGAGATCAAAGACAAAAGGCAGCTAGTGGAGAACCGCAAGCTTATTGAAACGGTACAAACTTATCACAGTTCTCAAAGACT